CCATTTTGAGTCACTCAAACCTCAAACCGGAAAGGACTGACAAGTGACACATTCAGAATAACCATAGATGTGCCTCTCATATATATATATATGTGTGTGTGTGTATGTTTCAATGTCCTATATGTATGTATGTATGTATATATACAGTATATGTGTGCTTTTTTCAATGTTTATGAAAGATTTCTTATGCTCACCAAGGCTGCAATTTTTAAACAAAAATACAGTAAGGTAAAATAATGTAAATATTATTATATTAATAATTTGATTATATTAATAATTTAATATATTACAATATATATTTTTTTTATGGCTAAGCTGAATTTTCAGCAGCCATTGCTTCAGTCGTCAGTCACATGATCCTTCAGGAATCATTCTAATATGTTTATTTGGAGCTCAGTCATTATTGTTTAAATATCAATAATGGTTCTTATCAAAACCTGTTGAAAACAGTTTTTGCTGTTTAATGTTTGTGGAAACAATGATAGTTTTTTTTTAAGAATTCTTTGATGAATAGAAAGTTCAAAAGAACAGTATTTATTTGAAATGAAAATAATTTGTAACGTTATAAACGTACTTTCTCTTAAACATAAAACCATTTAAAATTAAGCAATTTATTACATACTGTATATCCCTTGCTGAATAAAAATATTATTATTATTATTATTTTAAATAAGTAAATCACTAACACCAAACTTTTGAATGGTAGTGCATTACAATTTTGAAAAAAAAAAGCAGCATAATAATAAGAAATGTTTCTTGAGAACTAAATTAAACTAATCAAATCGCAATTTATTTATAAAGCACCTTAAAATCACAGAGTGTACCAAAGTGCTGTACAATTTAAACAAATACAAAGAAAGAGATACTAAAATAAAGCAAAAATAAACTAATTTAAATGCATCTAATCCAAACCAGTAGTCCTCATAAAGCAGCAAATGCCTCATTAAGCAGATATGTCTTAAGATGGGTTTTAAACATGTTTACAGAGGTAGACAATCTGATAGGTATTGGTATAATGGATATATGATGTCTGTCTTATGGTTGCTAGAGTATTTTAATTGCTCCACTGACCTCAGCACTCACATGCGTCATACCAGCTGTTTTTTTAATCTCTCATTCTCTTATTCTGTTGACAGTTGCAGGTGAACACACACTAGTGCCCAAATCCTTCACTCTGTCGCTCCAAGATCAGAAGTAGAATCTTAAAATAGCCATTCCAATATGGAAAGGACGTTGTAAGAGTGCTTTAATACTCCAAGAAAAAGCATGAAGTTGTGATGCATATTGCTGTGATCTGCATTGTGTGTGATATTCCTTCAGGGAAGGACAGTCAGGTCAGCCACCGCTGGCTCTTGTTTAGACACAGTGAGATGCTAAAGTCCTTTGAGGTGAATGTGAGTCGGTCCATTTGAAAATTTCGAACCGTATCATTGCTCGGATCCGTAAAGAATGCGATAATGGCTCTGACCCAGACCGAGGCTGGAGTTTATGAGTTTATAAATGCCTCTTCTTCTGCCTCTTTCTTCTGATATGAAAGAATTTATAGATATTCATGTTGTTATTTCTGTCGTGCACCTCTTTGTGCGGTAATTGTTTATACAATATGCCTTCTGGCAATGTTAATTTCTCTGATATTATCATATGCATTTCACAAATCTGAATATGCATATTACAAAATTGCATTGTGTCCTTTCCGCAAGAGGGTACATGATTGCAATGTCATAATGCGCATTATCTCATCTTTTGCAGCAGTCAATGCCATTTACTGATTGAGAATTACAGAATATGCTGTAAATCTTCTCTACTTCTAATGGTTGCATTTACTTTTAAGCCATAGTGTTAATTGTGTTCATGTTTTTGAGGTTTAGTTAAGTAGAGCCTCTCTCTCCTAATCACTCACATGCTCTTCATGCACTAATTGCTTGGTTTATGTCCACTTACAACATCATGAAAGAGATTCTGCCTTAATTTTAACCTTTCTCTGAGGACTCTTGTCACAGCACAGGGAGCGATGGAGGTCAGAAAGAAGAAAGAGAAAAACCAGTCGAAGCAGGGGTCAGTCACTAACTGTCCAGTGACAGGCTAGAGAACTTTGCTGCTTTAGGTGGTTATCTATGTTTTCTGTGCCCGAATCCACAACATTGGCGTAAATGGACCAGCCTGAAGATATCAGAACCTTTTCTGTCTTCTAATCTTTGTTTTTGCTTTGTATGTTTAAATTGATTTTGACAAGCCTACAAGACAACAGTCCCAGCATCCCTGTGCTCTCTATGGCCAGTACATCCCCAGCTTCACCACAGTTAGTGAAATCAAATTTACTGTGTTGTTCATAAAACTTGGTTTGCAGATGTGTTAAAAAGGTGTACAAGCAATTACTGCCATGAAAGGGGTCAGAAGGAATAGGTTCTAATGAGCTTTCATTTCCCAGCGTTATTAAAAAAACAACACAAAAACCCGCTGTTCCTTCTGTGATTGGAACTCATTAAATAATTTCTGTTGGTTTTGTGTGAATAACTCTAAGCTGTACCAGGAGCTTTGTGTGTCAGAGGAAGGTGTGTGATCTCAAACGAAGCCTCAGTGGGACAGAAAATATTGTAATGTTCAAACAGAGAATGTTGCAGTGTTCAGCTCTTGTTTTGCTGACTTTCAGAAAAAGGGCAAAAGAGAATGAAAGACGTTCTCTTTCTGTGAGCTCCAGTGTCTGAACTAATCCATCAGTTTTGTATGTTTGTGTTCAGATTTAAGAGTCAAACACACTCAGTACGGATTCTTCAAAACAATACAGATTCTTTAGTAAAATAGGAAAATGGGTGATAAAAAAAAATCATAATTTGTTCCAATCCCAGCTCAATGTGAATAGACAAGTTAGCCATTTGTAGGTTGATTTTGCATCCTAATTCAGTTCAACATGGCAGCGCACAGATAGATAGATAGATAGATAGATAGATAGATAGATGGATATGTATTGACATAAAAGGGTAACAGAATATATTACATGATCTGGTGGTCAGTAATGATTCTTTTTTTCAATTCCAATATGTGATGCTAGTGGTAAAGATATAATTTATTAATTTTTTTGCTTGATTTGATTTTTTGCATTTTGTATATGTACAAATACTAAAGTCTATTTAATTGATATACAGAATAAAAATCCCTTTATAATGTTTACTCAAACTGTTTAGTAGCTATTGAATTGAGCTGTTTTTGTCTGTAGTCCAACCTTGTTCGTGTTTTACATTAACTTGGGAGAAAGACACACAAGTAAATTAATATTATCAGCTGAACTAAATGAATCCATCACCACCAATTAGTTTCAGTAAAGGACTTGATGATTTTCATGTGGTGAAAAAACTATAAAAAGATGAGAACTGAGAAAGGCAGGAAAAAGACAAAGAGGGGGTAAAGAGAACAACAGATGCATAATTTAAGAGTGAATCTCCAAACACATGTAGTCTGTGGGCAGACCATGGCAAGCTTTAGTGTGACGGTGGGAGAAGATAAAACATCTATAATTTAAATCTTTCTTTCCCAACACAGTACACATTTTCAGTAATATCCTGGAATTCTAAAATTCCTGTTATTATATGTTAAATGTTTCATTTTTTTACTGGGGTATGCCGTTCTTTGTTGATATTCATGTTACTATTTTATGTTGAATATTTAAACATTTTGTCTTTTCTAATACCATTTTTGTGATTATGATTTTTAAATAATAGAAAAAGCTATTTTAATAACTCAACTCTTACAAACAAGGAATTTGGTCAAATTATACCAAAGGAATGTTTTTCTACAGTGGAGATCAAAATTAGAGAACAATTGATTTTTTCAGAAATAATGTAATCTTCATCATTCAAACTTTGAAGGAATTTTAACTGTGGCTATACCATGCTAGTAGAACTGTGTTTTACAAAATAACCAAGACACTTCAACAAAAATCTTTTATTTTGTGGGAAACACGGTGATCACAATTAGAGAACAGCAATGATTGTTACACGAAGAAAGATTACAACTAATATTTCTGAAGGTTACGGCAGTCAAAAATTAGTAGGAAGTGTACAGGCCCTTGCTTTGAATTAATTCAGCAATTCCAGCTGCAGTGTTGAACCGATTGCCCGTTGAGAGTCTCCACATTATTCTGTCCTCTCGTGCATTTGTCTTTCGTGGACAACCAGCCTTTTTGGGGGACTTGAATGTGTTAGTGACACTGTAAAGATGCAATATTCTAGAAATCACAGACTTGGAACGACCAACTTCTCTTGCTATGGCTGCTATTGGCCTTCATCTGGAGAACCTGCTGTCGGAGTGTTTCAGTCTGTTTAGAACGGCTCACCGTCTTGCAAAGTCAGTGAAAACTGGAAAGTTAGGCAGTCAGTTAAATAGAGTTTGTCCGATAATTAAGGAAATTAGCACGAGATTAACACCAAATAAAGTGTTCTCTAATTCTGATCATCGTTATTTTTCAAATATCTTATTTAAAGTCTTTATACTGCAATTCAGAATATATTAAACTCATGAAATGTGCTTAAAAAACTGCACTTTTACTCCTGTTAGGATAACTTAAAATAGGACTTTAAGCAGTGACCTCGAAGTTTAGGAACTTGTAGGTTGTTCTCTGATTTTTATCTTCACTGTAAATGAAAGTTTTGATGATTCCAAAATTCTCATAGATGCCATTTCCTATCTAACTGATGGTATTTCTTCTCTCCATATCCAGTTTATATTTCGTAAAATCATCGATGTGAAGAAGGAGGAAGAAGAGAGGCAGCGCTCAAAGAATGAGGTTCCACTCACCATTCCTGTGGACCACCCGGTCCGAAAACTTTTCCAGAAGTTTAAACAGCAGAAAGAGCTCCGTAACCAGGGCGCTTCGGCCCAACTGGACCTAGAGAAGAATAAGCAGCATCTACAGCAGCCCACACGCATGGCGAAACCTCACGCCTCCCTCATGCAGAACTCATTGCACGCAGTTCAGAACGGGTCCACCAGCAGCGTGGTCACCATCTCCCAAATCACACCCATCCAGAACTGCCTGGCCTACCCTAAAGTGGGCGACTCAGTCAAGCAGAACAACCGCGACATCATGGAACTCAAACCTGCCGTGGCCAGTGGTGACCAAGTCGCAAATCGACTCAAAGTGAATAACACAGCGCGGACCAAACCCGCAGGAACTGCCTGTGGCTGGATGAGACTGAAAAACAACATGGCTGCCCCTGGTTCACCTCCAGAAGATGAGAGGAGGGAGGGATTGAACAATGCGGCTAAAGCTGTGTCCATGGAGCACATTTCACCAGAAGTCAAAGTTCAGATAGAAAGTGTTGAGGAGGTTGGAACATCCAGGAAGAATTCGCTTCGCAAAACGGACTCTTGGGATAGTGGCTTGACTTACAGCGACCAGAGACTGGATAGGGTTTCAGAACCACAGAGCCCTGTTCCTGGAGTCGGTGGTGGAGAAGGACCAGCCCAGGATTTTTACCCCAGTAGCGAGAGCTCATTCCAGGCCGCACTGCAGGAGGCAAGGCTGGAGCTGCGGACAGAGATCCAAGCTCTGAACGGAAGGATGGCAGTTTTAGAAGAACGGGCTGGACAGATTCTCAGACTGCTTCTAGAGACTTCAAAGCCCACGTCTAGCGAAGACCCAACCTCAAAAATGCACAGACCCAAACTCAAAGCACAAGGCAGCATCCCAGTGTCCACACTCAGTACGCCAGACTCTGAAAAGGATGAGGGTTTGCCATAGGAAAACAGGCTTTGCATTCAATAAACATTTGAGAGGAAGCATTTGTACCATCACTGGGGCTTTGGTGCATCCAAATTTGGCACCTGTATCTGCAGCTTATACAGGAACGCCCAAAATAGGAGCTTGGGTTGGTTTCTAGCTTCTGATTTCTGAGGATAAAACTGACAACTGAACATCTGTATGGGAACAGGAGTTGGTTTCTGGATCTAAATAACTGCCAGGAACTCTAACCCCATCAGAGTACAGTGGCATGTACTGAGAAATACAAACATAAGAGGATTTTTAGTTTTAGTGCTTTTTAATGTTCAATCAGCACTTTTTTTGTACACTGAAGTAATGCAGGAACTATTGTTTTTCCCTCTTTTTCAGCGTAAGTTTGTATATATAATGCATGTCCAGCTGGGTTCTGGCTTGCCAAAAATGTACAACCCTGATGACGTCTGTACAACTGATATTTAAATGCTTGTATATTATTCAGTTAACTGCATGCAGATCTATTTATTCTCAGAGAATGCTTATTTTCAATGTGTAAATGAAAGAGACTGTTGATTGTCTTGATATCTCCATAATGTACATTCAGGTTTTTAACAAAATGTAGCATGACAGATCACTGAGGAAGAATGTGTTGTGTTTGAAACATTTACGTATGCATGAATGACTTCAACAGCACTCAAGAACTTTGCCTTAAAGCACCTGAACATCACTCTTGAGATAAAGCTGAAGAAAAAAAACCTGCACTGGTTATCAGTGTTGGACAGGTCTGTCTTTCTATACATTTTAACTTGCATGTGCCAGTTTTCATTTCTGATTTTTTGGTCAAGGATTTTGGAGCATGTAGGATTTTATGCCCTTCATTTATGTTCCACTGAATGTTATTGGGTTTGTTTTATTTTATATGGCATCAGTAGCAGCTTTTGGGCCTGAAATGCAGCTTCACCACTGTATATCTGTTGACTGTATTATATGCAACCTTAATAAAAAATGGTAAATAAAAAATTAATTGTAAGAGTAAACTGCAATGTTTTGTTCGCAAGATAACATTATAAATGATATTTTTAGCTCTCAAAACAAAGTCCCTTATATTAGGACTGGAAGGCTCATGACCGAAACACATCTGGACTACTTAACCTGATCTTCTCTTAAAAGTGACTTTTACATTGTTACAAGAAATTTCTGTTTTAAAACCTTCTATTTACTGTATAACTACTATTTACTTTATAAACTTTCTATTTATTAAAGAATCCAAAAAGAAAAATTCCTGAAAAAAATGTTTCGCAGTTTCCACCAAAATATTAAACAGCATGTTTTCAACATTATTAATAAATCAGCATATTAGAATGATTCTGAAGGATCACGTACTGTATGTATATGCACATATATTGTATTTCTTTTCATTTTGTTTATATTTACATTTTTTTAATGATTTTTCCTTTATTTCTTTTAATCATTTTAATCATAATCATATTTTAATGTTCCCTCCCTCTTTGTTTCCAGGTAGTAGAGAGTTAAATGTACCTGCACAGGTTAAGAGTGTAGCTGCCTGTATTACGGTCCTGCTGGTTTGATCCAGTTCTCTACAAAAGACAGATAGATGAAGCTCTCGGCTGAAGTCAATTTTCAGGTAGCGGTGCTGTAGCTTGGCATCAAGCACTCATGATTCTGTTATTACAATCCATTTATCTCTCACTCTGTCTCTCTTTTTGCTGAGCTTGCTAAAGATCTGGGATTGGCCTGGTTTTAAAATATCAGTTTTGTGCTGTTATATTCTTTTATATACTCACACACACACAAATATTGTTTCACAGATACAAGCCCATTTCAGTAGTAATGTGTGTTTGTGAATGTAAAACCAAAGACTGTGTTGAATATAACATGAGGTCTGCCTTCTGTGTACTAAATAGTCCCAGTTTTGCTTGGTCTCAAGGTCTTAATGAGCTGTTGTTCTACAGATCATTAGACACATTTAATCAGGAGAAAGGCCAAGGGGTCAAGGGTTTTGCTAGTTAGCCACTGCTGGAAAATACAGTAACTACCAATGCTTTCAGCATTGACACCCATTCTGAAGTTGCTATATATTGCAATTACGATGAATGAATAGTATCAGATTCTTATTGATCAGGTTGTCTAGATATCAGACAATTCTCTGTAGCAATGTAGCTGCATGCAAGCTAATATTACAAGATCACATGGCCTAATTCTCCTTTTTTTGTCACTGTCAATCTCTTTGCGTTTTGAAAAAAAATGTGTATTGAAACTGATTTCTGTGTAAGCCTTAAAATGCTATGAAGCATTGCAGTATATAGGAGCATAATCATAAAATCACAAAAAAAATGGAGAAGCCTGGATGTATAGAGAGAGTTCAGAATCATTGTCCAGTGATAAAATTTGGTTATCACAAACATTTACATTATGATTTACTTTGTAATAGTGCAGATATAAATAATAGTATTTAAAAAGACCATAAATTAATCAACATAAAGGTGAGAGACAATGTAGACGACTGTACAGTGCTTCCCATCATTTTCTCTCTTGCTTATATTTAGAAGCTCATTTGGTTGGATCTGTACCTGTCAGCTTGAACGCCTGGAGTTGTTGGAAAGAGTCTGTCTTGTCCATGAGTAGGGCCAGATTTAGAGTTTGTTTAGTTGACAGTTAATTGAATGGAAGTGATTTGACAGAAGGGTAATTTTGGCAATTAATCTGGGACAAAGGCAGCATTGGGGGAGGGTTGACATTCTGGGAATGCTGGTGAATATCGTACATGCCAACATTACCGTAGCAGCAAAATCTCTGGGAACAACGTTGATCAAAAGCAAGGACAGATTAGATTGGCCCTAAGGCATCAGCCTTTTTTGGAGGCCCCCTCTTGTACCCCCACACACTGTTTTTGCCAAGGAGCTGAAAATGAGGAAAAAATAGTATCTTGTAACTGCGATTTAAAATCACTTCATATTGCATGACTCAAAATTAAGAATTTGGTTTTAGCATCTCATTGAAGTGATCTGAATTTGTGTCCCACTCTTGTGAAGAAACCACCACATTTACCTCAACATTTACGACAGATTTTTAAGATAATTTACACACTTACATTCCAAAGTTTGGGATTGATACATTCTTAAAACATTTTTTTAAAAGTCTCTTATGCTCACCAAAGCTGTATTTGTTTGATCAAAAGTACAGTAAAACAGTAATATTGTGAAATATTATTACAGTTTAAGTAACTGCCTTTTACTGTTATACATTTTAAAAGGAAATTCATTCTTAAGCTGAAATTTCAGCAGCCATTACTCCAGTCTTCAGTGTCACTTGATCCTTTACAAATCATATTTTTTATTTTATAATTATTCTTGGCAGATTTATTTGAAAAAATGATTTGAGGTTGCCTGCAGTATTTTGAGAGTTAATGTCAAAACTTTATTATTTTATTTTTATTTTATTTTATTTTAGGGACAACAGCTGCCCTTATTTTAAGTACATCTTTGTCGTAATAATAGACAACATTTTTATCCTTTTCTTGTGAAGAAAACCACATTTATCTCAGCAAAATCAATAAAAGTAATCTGCACACATTTGTGATTATGGAACTTAATGAAACTATATTAAACTGTTGGCCCTAAATGTAATTTCCAGTGCAGAATCTGCTGAATTTGACCTCTGAGGCGTTACACTGTGTTCAGGTTTATAATGGAAAAGGTAATAATCATGTGCATCTGCTACTGCCAGAATAGGAGAGGAGAATGTTTTCTCCTCTTACAAAACAAACACCCAACAAATCTCCTGACAAACAAGAAAAAATGTACTTGTTTTTTGTTACCCATCATGCACTGTGGCCATTATACAGTTTTTTTTTTTTTAAATCACCTTGTTTACTTACTGTATGATTATTTAAGGTAATTTATATGGAAATACCATTCTGTTCAAAGTTTGGGGTTGGTAAGATTTTTTTAATGAAAGAAGTCTCTTAGGCTCACCAAAGCTGCATTTATTTATTTGATAGAAAAATACAGTAAAAACATTAATTTTGTTAAATGTTATAACAATTAAAATAACTGTTTTTAAATTGAATATATTTTAAAACGTGGTTTTACTAGCCATTACTGCAGTCTTTAGTGTCACATGATCTTTCAGAAATCATTCTAATAAGCTTATGCTTTTGCTCAAGAAACATTTCTTATTATTATCAATGTTAGCTTTGGTAATATTAAATAATCTTTGATAAATAGAAAGTTCAAAAGAACAATTAATTTGTAATACTGTAGATATCTTTAGTAACATTATAAATGTCCTTACTGTCACTTTTGATCCGTTTAATAACATTTTTTTAAATGCTACTGCATGGGGATTTGTAGAAGTTTTTCTGTCTCAATTAAAAGAACAGGCCGGAACACAAAATGTTACATCATTTAATAGCTTATGCCCTGTAGCTACAAGATTTTTTGTCAAGTTACGACACAAGACCACAGGTGTGGTGTTTGCAGTTTTATTCAGTTTTGCTCTTTTCAGGAAAAAAAGGAGGAAGGTACAAAGAAGATGAGAAAGTAACATAAGGTGACCATTTAAAGGTAAAATCTCTCCTACATGTACATAGACATCAAACAGATCGATTTTTGATACATTTTATTCCTGCAGTGCACATCTTTGGTGTTTTAAGTGGAGGCTGATTTCTCCAGCATATCAGACCGAAGTGATGCATTCAGTGGTGCTAGTGAGACAAACCCCACAGTCACAGCGGAGGGCCACGGGGTAGGTGTAGGACGGGTCCACGTCTGCTGAGCAGTTTGGCAGCTGCACCATCTCCAATCGAGTTTCGCTATATGTGCACACGCGCTGGTGCGACTCGATGAAGGGCGGGTCCAGGACAGGCTTCTGCGGTGATTGACAGGTGAAGAGAAGGGTGTGTCAGACTGATGTCATAACGAGGACTTCTCATCTGGGCTACTGGTTTATTTTTTAAATAGACTAGACTTTAAAGCGTCTTTAAAGTTTAATATTTAATAATATACTGTAGAATCTTTAAATAAACATGTTAAATAATGTCTCAAATGACTGTTCCAACCCAAATAACTTTTACTGGAAGTGAAATTTGTCCTTGAAGGCACTTTTTTCTTCAAAAATGAATATTATCCTGATCTGACTCTTAAAACTGAACGGCCTAATGTAGTGAGGATGGTTTAGATCAGGGGTGCCCAAACTCGGTCCTGGAGGGCTGGTGTCCTGCAGAGTTTAGCTCCAACCCCAATTAGACACACCTGAACAATGAACAGGCTCTCTTACTAGGCATGCTAGAAACCTCCCGGCAGGTGTGTTGAGGCAAGTTGGAGCTAAACGCTAAACTACACCGGCCCTCCAGGACCGAGTTTGGGCAC